CTGACCCAAGCCATGGTATTTTCAATAACCTCATATGGATGCGAAAGCTGGACAGTGAATAAGGAAGATCATAGAAGAATTGATGCCTTTGAGTTGTGGTCTTAGAAGAGAGATACTAAAAGTGCCATGGATTGCCAAAAGAACCAATAGATCTGTTTTGGAAGAAGTGCAGCCAGAGTGCTCCTTGAAGGCCAAGATGGCTCAATTTCATCTCTCATACTTTGGACATATTGTCTGGAGGAAACAGTCGCTAGAGAATGATGTCATGCTGGGTAAGGTGGAGGGTCAGAGAAAGAGAGGAAGACCCCCAAGGAGATGGATCAGCCAGGTGACATCAATAATGGCATCAAGTACGGCAGTAGTAGTGAGGTTGGCCCAGGATTGGACATTGTTTTGTTTTGCTGTGCATGGGGTTGCTATGAGTCAGTTCCAACACGATGGCACCTGACAACAACAACAACAACCCATGTAACTGAGTAATTTCATTTGCAGATATTCACCAAGTAAAAATGAGTGCAAGTACATATCCTTGACAAGTCTGGATTGAAAATATTCACAGAAGCTTTATTCACTCACAATCAGCAACCCACATATCCACCAACAGATAGTGGATGAACAAATTGTAGTATATTCATAAAATAGCCACAGAAATGATTGAACTGCTGATAGATACAATAATATTAAAACCCCAAACATAAGGGTATGCAAATTTAGCAGCTACAAAAAGAATATGATATGAAATTCCATTTATATGAAGTTTTAGAAAAGGCTAAATTAACCTATAATAACAAAAATTGAACATGCATTTGACTCTGGGGGTATGGGGTAGGTTCTGACTAGGGAGGTCACTATAGAATTCCAGGGGGGTCCTTAAAAATGTTTTGCATCTTGATAAATATGTATTATTTAAGATTAAACATCTGTCAAAATATTTAAAAGTTTCACATAAGACTCATTTATTTCATGTAAATTTGTCCTAAAAACTGTAATGAAAAGATAAATTCCAATTATTAAATTTGCTGCAGTTCAAAGGAAAACCTCTAGGGAAGATGCATTGTTTGAGAAATTGTCCCTGGGAACATCTAGTGAGGACATTCAAACAGGGGGAACATGTGCAAAGGTTCTGTGACAGGAGAGTTGGGGCAGAAAGGAGTAGGACAGAAGAGCTTATAGGGTCAGTCCTTCCCTACACTTTCTAGGAAAACATCTCATGTACTTAGTCAGTACCTTCCACCTGCTTCAGCCCTATTTCTTCTTTGCCTGAGTTTTGATGGCATTAAAAAAAAAAAAAAAAAAAAAAACTATTTTGTTGTGTGAATTATGTGATAGTTTACATGGAGAAAATTAGCTTTACATTCATCCTATCGTATATTGTTATATTACCATGGTTACAATCCCCTCCATGCATCATCAACCAACCAAATGGTACACTCCACAAGTCTGCCCCCCGGTTGTCAGCACGCAGCCCCTCTCTCTCTCTGGGTCTAGAGTTCCCAGCCACTCCATCTCTCCACATCATCATCTCTGCCTCCATCTCTGGTGACACTGTTCTCTGGGTAGCGTCCTGCACTCCACTCTTCTCCCTTGATGGTCCTAGGGACCTCTGCTCCTGGACTGCAAAGTCAACCACTTTCCTCCCTTTGCTACAAAATGTCTACCTTTACATTTCCAACCCTCACAGTCAGTCCTGATAGTAATCTTTTACTATTGTACCACATGAGTGTTATCTCCATCTCCTTTTCTTTTTAATGTTTTATTGTTAATTATGTGATAGTTTACATGAGAGAACATTAATTTTACATTCATTCTATCGTATGTCGTCTCATTGCCATGGTTACAATCCTCTCCGTGCATCATCAACCAACCAAATGGTATACCCTGCAAGCCTGCCCCCCACACCACCCCTATCTTCAGCATACAGTCCCTCTCCCTCTCTGGATCTAAAGTCCCTAGCTGCCCCATCACTCCACGTCATCGTCTCTGCCTCCATCTCAGGCATCACTGCTTCTCTGGGTAGGGTCCTGCTCTCTGCTCTTCTCCATTGATGGTCCTAGGGACCTCCACTCCTAAACTGGAAAGTTAATCACTCCCCTCCTTGCTATAAAACGTCTACCTTTACATTTCCAACCCTCACAATCAGTCCTGATAACAACTGTTCTCTATTGTATCACAAGAGACCCATCTACATTTCATTTCATCAGCTCCGCCTAGACAGATTGGATACTACTCACTGGAGATTTTACCTTCCTCCAGGTCCTCTGGATCTAGGTTCCCTCTTGCCCATCTTCTTTTATCAGTCTCGCCCAGACAGATTGGATACTACTCAGTGGAGATTTGACCTTCCTCTGTGCCCTCTGGATCTAGGCTCCCTTTTGAAAGCTTGTAAGCTAGTCACTTCTTGCCTTTCTAGCCACACAATTTTGGGTAGCCAATGTCCAAGTTGCCCATCCCTATCTGCTCTGTGTATGGAGGGGGCTGGGAATGATCCTCATGGTAAAGATTTGTTCCCTCTTTTGAGATACTGCATCCATACGTGTAGGTCAATGTCATCAAATTGTATCAGATCTCTGGTTTGTTTGTTTGTTTGTTTTTATCTCTTCTTTCTTCATCCAGTTGAGCTCTGATCATCCCTTCATTGAAGCCAGGTCAAGTGAGTATTATCTGAAAGTATGGGTGTTCTTATGCATGTGCCCTCTCTTCTTATCATCTGGATGCGTCATTCTCCACTCTAGTCCTCTGTGGCTATGTCACTGACTCTGGGCCCACAAGTCCCCAGGTCTTGCCAAACTTCTGGCCATTCAGGTCTCAACCAGGGTTCACAGGAGTCTATTGAATGTGGTTGGACTTAGCTCACAGCTTCATTGCTGTTTTTCCCTCACTTCCCCTTATTGGTGACTAATGTGGTCACCAGTCAGAGCATGTGTCTGCTTGTGTATTCCCATCGAGTCTTAGTCTTGAAAGGGGGTTGTCTCTGAGAGGACTCAACCACCTGCCTTGATGTCTCCTGGGCAGGCAACTTGCTTCTTCTTGTAGTAGTCAGTTGAACTGCCGTTATTGTTTTGTATTTTTCCTGTTGGTCTTTTTTTCAAGAAGTATCTTCTGTTCTTCTAGCCACTCCAGGCTGGTCTGCTTGTCTTTTCAAGTGGAAATTTTCCACCTCAAAAGATTCTGGATGTGGTTCAGGATTCCACCTATGGTCTTATGTAATGCAGAGGCTCCACAGGAAGCCTCCTTCACTGGGCACGTTGTAGCCCCATTTTAGGTATTCCAATCAGTTAGAGGCAGCAGATGGACTTACAAATTTTCTGTAGTGATATTTCTGGCTATTCCTTTCTCTTCCTCTCGTGTCTATTTTATAATGGTATGCCAGGGAAACCAAGAGTCAAAAGACAGCCAAGCATCTTAACATTATTTCCCCTCTTTTAGCCATTCAAACCATGCCTCAATCCCTGTATTCTAGAGCCCTATTTTTCCAAGGTTGTGCATACATCGTTATTTGCCTCTGTCCCACCTAGCCCATGCAAATCTGCTTAACTGTTCTCCTATATGCCTTGTTCTTCCATTCCCCTTTGATGGCATTTTTATTAGCAACTTCCTTAAGAGGAAAGAAAATATTAATTGAGTTCCCTCTGCATGCCATAGTCCTATTGGAAAACTTATACCTAACGTTTTATTCTTTCAACTTCACAGACTATTAATTTAAGGCTCAGGAACAAATAGTGTATTCCCCCTGGTGTGATGAGGTTCCCATGGATCACATCTGATGAGTAGTGTTATTGGCCAGGAAGGCAAGTAAGAAAACTAGGCTTTGAATGAAATATGAAAATAATATATGAATGAATTCCTTGATCATGAAAAAGTTTGACATTATACATTGTTTTGTAATAGAGTATGAAACCAAGCCTTTCCTACCATATCCTTAGTTGTGATTACTCATGTTTCATAAAACTCGGAGCGCTTATTATTTCAGGATATGTTGCCAGTCAACTGCTCTTTCACCCTGGTTGGCCCCTGTTCAGCTTCTTTGAGTTGGCAGTCCTCTGAAGTTCAGTGTTTCAAGATACCATCTCTATCTGTTTCACTTGGCATCTCCTGTCTACTCTACCATCCTGCCCCCCAAAAGTCCCTTTTGTACCTTTTTATGTACTTTATTATTTTTCCTACATTTGAGTAACTCATGTAATTGCATAGATGGACATATCCCAGTCAACGGAAGCTGAGCCAAGGGCTGTGCTCCTGGAGGAGGAGGATGGAAGACCCAGGCGAGATTGCATTCAGCTGGGCAGGACTGAATTAGATAGCAATTAGAAAGTCCTAAGTTTAATACTAAGACCTAAAGCAGGTGTGAGCAGTAAGGTGCTGGTGCTAGAGGTCTATCCTTTTCGTTAGTATCTAGGGCAGTGGATAGAAGAGGCAGAAAAGGAAGAGCTGGATAGAGAAAGGCCTTGGGAAATTTTTAGGGATCAAAGAAGTTTACACCAAAAGCATTGCTCAGCAGACTGAGGCCCAGTCTAATGGGGGAAGGTGGTCACAAGTCCAAATAAACTAGTCCCCCCATAAAAACTGCATCCCAGAATGGTGCCCACACCAGGATCATCTCATATGTTATCCACAACAGGCATCAGTGAGAGAGAATGGTGTTTGTTCAGTATTCACCTTTGGCAGAAAAGGAGAAGCTTTCCCAGGGCGCGCTGGACCTCCACGTTCCGCAGCGAGTAGATGAGTGGATTTAGGGTGGGACTCAGCATCGTGTACAGCACCCCTGCCACTTTGCTCCTCTCAGGACTGTAGTTGGAGGCAGGGCTGATGTAGGCACAGAACACAGCTGTGTAGTACACGGAGACCACAATCAGGTGGGAAGAGCAGGTGGAGAAGGCACGGCGCTTGCCCTCGGCTGAGCGGATGCGCAGGATGCTGACCACGATGTAGCCATATGAAGTCAGCGTTAGCAGGAAGTTGATGCAGCCATAAAAAACATCAGCCAAAACCGTCATGATGCTGTTGACTTGCGTGGGGCTGCAGGAGAGGAGGAGCAGTGGTGGGATCTCGCAGAAAAAGTGTGTGATGACGCGGGGGCCACAGAAGGTCAGTCTTGCAGTCAGACTGGTGTTAACCAAGGAGTTGAAGGCGCAGACGCTCCAAACGCCCACAGCCAGTGCCGCGCACACCCTCGGGTTCATGATGATGCTGTAGTGCAGCGGGCGGCAGATGGCCACGTAGCGATCAAAGGCCATGACTGAAAGCAGCAGCAACTCGGAAGACAAGGACCACACAAGAAAGAAGAGCTGAACCATGCAACCTGCATGGGATATGGTGTTTTCCCGCATAATCAAACCTGACAGCACCTTGGGCAGTATGGTGGAAGTGAGGATGATGTCCATGATGGCCAAGTTGGACAGGAAGAAGTACATGGGACTGTGGAGGACAGCACTATGGCCCACAACTGTGACAATGAGAATGTTGCCCGTGAGAGCCACGGTGTAGAGCACCAGGAAGCAGCCAAAGAGTGGCAGGCGCAGTGCAGGATGCTCTGAGAATCCCTGAAGGACGAACTCCATCACCAGAGTCTGGTTGGACTTTGTGGTCCCACCAGAATCCATGACACATGACGTCTGGCTGCCCCTCCAGAAAACCTGCAGGTGTTTAACAAGGGGTTACATGACATACTCATTTCAGATCATGTGTTCACGGGTGACCAGAAGGGGGTTTGTTTTAGGAAAGCCTACTTATCTCTTTAACCTCCACCCTCCCATGTTTCTGCAAACCACATCACACCCTGCCTTTACTTTTTCTTTCATTTCTACAGTGAAAAAAATTTTGTAATCAAGGTTTGCTTCAGAGACCTGCTTCCTCCACCCCACATGGTCACACCCTACACTGGAAAGCCCAGGGACACTCCTCATTCAGGAGCCCCTCTGATCTTCTGCCCCCAGCACAAGACCTTTTTAAAGTGTTGAAGAACAAAGATGTCAGCTTGAGGACTAAGGTGCACCTGACCCAAACCATTGTATTTTTCAATAATCTCATATGCATGTGAAAGCTAGACAGTAAATAAGGAATACTGCAGAAAAATTGATGTTTTTGAGTTATGATGTTGGAGGAGAATATTGAAAATGCCATGGGCTTCCAAAAGAACCAACAAATCTGTGTTGGAAGAAGTGCAGCCAGAGTGCTCTTTGGAGGCCAGAATAGCCAATTTTCATTTCTCATACGTCAGACATATTGTCAGGAGGGACCAGTCTCTGGAGAAGGATATCATGTTTGGTAAGGTTGAGGCTCAGAGAAAAAGAGGAAGACCTCCAGTGAGATGGATTGGCAAAGTGGCAGCATCAAGTGTAAGGTTGGCCCAGGACTGGACAGTGTTTTGTTCTGTTGTGCATAGGGTCTCTATGAGTTGGTACCAACTCTATGGCACCTAACAACAGCAACAACACAACCTTGCAATAACAATAATGTACAACTGGATACATAGACTCACAATGGAACAGGTGTGTTAAGGAGAATGGGATTATACCTACACATATATAAAGGTCTGACAGAAGATATTTCTACAATGTATTCACCTATGATGTGGCACTATGGGTTAATGTACTAAACTGTGAAGTTGCTTTGAGCCACAATGTTGGTAGTTCAAACTCCTTGGAAACCCTATACAGAGTTACTATGGGTTGGAACTGACTCAACAGCACTTAACAACAGCAACTTTCATCTATGATACAAATATACACCTGAGTACAGTAGAACATATAGGGGGCAAAGCTATGAAACCTTCTTAGTCATGGCTAAACATCTTGAGGGAATATGAGTTTCTGGAACTGGGTACTTGGAGCCATAGTCTCAAAGGACACCAAGGTCAATTGGCATAAAGTAGTCTACAAAATAAATGCTCTAGATTCTACTTTTGTGAGTAGTAACTGGGGTCTTAAAAGCTTGTGAGTGTTCATTTGAAGTGTAGCTATCGATCTATTCCCATCAGAACAAAAATAATGAAGAAAATCAAAGATGTATGTAAACAATTAGTCCAGTGGGATAATGGACCACATGAACCTCAGCCTCCATGGCACCAAGAACAGAAGAAATAGATGGCGCCTGACTGCCATTGCTGAGTGCTCTGGAAGGGATCACATAGTGTGATCCTGTATAGTGGGAGACAAATATGGAACAAAACTCAAAAAAAAAAAAAAAGATAAACAAGCTTATTGGTGAAATAGACTGGGCTCACCTCAGGCTCAATTTTCAACCAAACAATAGAGAGGTCTATAAGGTGAACAATAATTCTAGGCAGGTATGAACTTCAAATAATCAACCATTTGAGATAAAAAGGTTTGCATTTTCCCAAGGAAAAAGTTCAGAAGGTGGGAGGGGATAGGAAAGGAGAATGGAAATGGGAAATGTAGGTAATAATATTATATTGTGAGCATTGTAATCAATGATATGAAACAAAATGTTTATGAATTGTTAAATGGAAACTGATTTTCTCTTTAAAACCCACCCAATTAACAAGAAGTAGTTAAAGAAAGAAAATCTCCACAAAAACTTAAAAAAAACAACAAGAAAAATCTGGTCCTTCAGAAAGATAAACAAAATTAATTAGCAGCATGGCAGACTAATTAAGAATGAAAGAGATAGGCAGGGATGGGCAATTTGGACATTGGCTACCCAAAATGGTCGGTGGGGGGCTACAAAGGCAAGAAGTGACTGGCTTACAAACTTTCAATAGGGAACCTAGATCCAGAGGGCCTGGAGGAAGGTAGAATCTCCAGTGAGTAGTATTCAATCTGACTAGGCGGGGCTGATGCAATGAAATGCAGATGGGTCTCTTGGGATACAATAGTGAATAATTGTTATCAGGACTGACTGTGAGGGTCAGAATGTAAAGGTGGATGTTTTATAGCAAGGAGGGGAGTGATTAACTTTTCAGTCTAGGAGCAGAGGTCCCTAGGACCATCAAGGGAGAAGAGCAGAGAGCGGGACCCTACCCAGAGAAGTAGGGTCCCTGAAATGGAGCCAGATGATGATGACGTGGAGCGATGGAGCATCTGGAGACTTTAGATCCAGAGAGGGAGAGCGACTGTGTGCTGAAGACCTGGGGGGGGTACGGGGGAAGGATTGCATGGAGGGGATTGTAACCATGGCAATGAGAGGATATACGATAGAATGAATGTAAGTCTGATGTTCTCCCATGTAAACTATCACATAATTCACAATAAAACATAAAAAAAAAAAAAGAATGAAAAAGAAAATGACCATCATAAGTTACCATTAACCAAAATGAAAGAAGGAATATAACTACCATTCATGTAGACTTTACAGGTATGATGATGGAATATTGGGAACATCATATGTCAACAGATTTGAAAATATAGATGAAATGCACAAATGCCTTGAACAATGCAACTTATGAAAATAAAACAAATAGGAAATTGAAAATCTAAATCATTAATATGTATGTGAGATGTTGTTTGCATTATAAAATCTTCTCTCAGAATGTTAAACTTGGGAGCTTTAATGAATATTTAATGAAGAAGTCATACTAATAAATAGACACTCTTTTGGTAAGTAGGAGGAGAAATCCTTTCCAACTTGTCTTATGAAACCACCACAAAAAAGTGAAATATGAAAAGTCATGACAAAAAAATAAAGAATTTAAACATAGATGCAAAAATCACATAATAAATACTTGCCAAAAATATCCAACAGTATGTTAAAAAAATTATACATCATTATCATGAAGGGTTCATTCCAGAAATGCAAAGTTCTTGTATCATTAAAAATATTTAATGTAATTCCCTATTTTAACATAATGCAAAACTCACAATCATTAAAATAGTTGTAAAAATGTCATGGACAAAATTAAACATTAATTCAGAAAATAGCTTCAAGCAAATCATATATAAAAAAGTCCTATGAAGTGCATCTATGAAAAGCCTATTTAATTATGAAATAGTTACTGAATGTTCTAGCCAGTGTAGTAAGTCAAGAAAAAATGAAAGGTACAAGGATTGTAATGTAAAATATGAAAGTCTCTTTATCTGTAGGCAATAAGATTATTTAAGTAAGGAAACCTAAAAATAATTACAAAGCAAGTGCTAGAAAGAATAGGTAATTTAGTGAGGTTGCAGGATACAAGACCGTTATATAAAAATCAACTGCATTTTCCCCAAATTTACAGCAAAATACTGGAAAATAAGTTTAAATATATGTTAAGTAACATTAAAAATAAAATACATGGAAATAAATTTAATAAAGGATAGATAATATATATCTCATTAAAAAAGCAAAGTGTTGCTGAGAGAAATTAAATAAGAGCTAAATAAATAGATATGCAAAGTTTATGAATTAGAAGACTATATTACTAAAGTATTCTCCTCTAATAGATCTTTAAAGTAAGTGTAATCTCAATCATAATTTCAGAATATTCTTAAAAAAAAGAGAGGGAAAAGAAAGAGAGAGAGAAATTGGCTTGTTGGTTATAAATTGTTTACAGAAATGCAAAGGACTTTCATTATTCAAAATAGTCTTGAGAAGAAGAACAAATTTGGATGACAATTATCTGACCTCAAGAATTACTATGAAGTGGTGGTGGTGGTGGTGGTGGTGGTGGTGTGCAGTGGAGTCTGTTCTGACTCATAGCGACCCTATACAGGGTTTCTGAGCCTGTAATCTTTATGGGAGCAGAAAGCTTCATCTTTATCCAGTAAAACAGCTGGTAGTTTATAACTGTTGACCTTGAGGTTAGCAGCCAGATTTGTAACCACTAAGCAACCAGAGTTCCTTTACCATAAAGTAAGAGTTATCAAATAGTTTTGGTTTTGCATTGTTGCTGTTAGGTGACATGAAGTCTATTCTGACTCATATTCACAGCAGAACAAAATACTGCCCAGCCATGTACCAACTTCACAATTGTTATGTTTGAGCCCATTGTTGCTGCCACTGTGTCAACCCATCTCCTTGGGGGTCTTCCTCTTTTTTTGCTGACCCTCCACTTTTTGCATAAGAATAGATAAATCAGTAAAACAGAAGAATGTCCTAAACTAGATACATTCTTAGCTAAGTGATTTTTATTTTGATGAATGTGCTAACAAATTCAATAACAGGAGTATTTAACACAAATGATGTTGAAACAACTGGATGTGCAAATGGAGAGAAATTTTTTTTTAAATTGTTCTCTACTTCACATAATACATAAAAATTAATTCAAGATTAAGCATAGGCCTAAACAGAAAAGATAAAATTATACGGTTTCCATAAGTAAAAACAGAGACCATCTTTGCTACATGGAACGAGGAAAAATTTTTTAGGATACAGACACATGGGCATATCTATACAAAATAGCACCCATGACAAGCACTGAAATTGCACTCCTACCCAAACATCTGACACAATCTTTTTAATAACTTTACCATAATATCAGCTCAAAATGGAAATCAAACTTTAATTTTTGCCTAGTTTGTGATGGCACTGCTTGAAGGTTATAATTGCCCCTTCCTTGTTTCAATGATGAAAATTGGCCTATTTGCTTCTCAAAATCATTTTCTTCTCTTTCTACATTCAATAGTGCAAGATCACACAGTCTGCCATGACCACAAGACTCAGATAT